GCTCTACCTTAGCTTGGAGCATCTCAGGGGTAGGCTTCATCATAGAAGACCCTAAGAGATTTGACTTAAACTGGTTAGTCGAAAGAAAAAAGAAAGGGAGGAAAACAATGAAACCAAATAAGGGAAAAAACATTACCTTCTACGCTTTCAAGTCAGATAAAGGAAAGTGGGATTGGAGGAGGGTCGAATCCCTGTATTTCTAATTCCAGGGCTTAAGGAGGTCAGAGTGTCTATCTGGATTACACTTAGCCAACTTCAGCTTCACCCGTTTGTCCTCGGCACTGGCTTCAGGTCAAATGCCTAAGAAAGGAGGAACACCCAAAGTGCAGAGGTCAGGAAAACAACTTATAAATCTTCAAACCGCAGTTCAGTCTAGCAAGAACTCACCTAAGTTATCTGGGGCTGACCAGGCTCTGGAATCCCAAGAATGTCTATTTTATCAGCAGGGTTGTATTCCCAATTGACACCCCCAAAGAAAAAAAAATTCTTTTTCCAGCCTTTATGAGAGCTCGGGAGGTGTGTGATGATCTGCTTAGATGAGGTCCGTCTAGAAACATATGGAAAGCCCTCAGTTGAGGTAAGCTTGACATTAAAAAGGTTCATAAGTAGAGAAATTGTGGGAGTCCCAAACCCATGCTTCTTAAAGAAAACTAAAAGACCCACTAAAACACCCCATAAGTTAAGAGAAAGCTGAGTAGGTCAGACATTGAGGTGCTGCAGAACATTTTTGATGAAGGGGTGCATGGGGAAACGAAGGTCATTGTTGAAAGCGGCCACAAAGAAACAAACTCTTTTTTGTACTTGGGCAATGTATGGGGTGAATTTATTTGGGCACCAGGGCTGAATACTAGGGGGAAAACGAACACTAAGAGTTTCATGAGAATAGGATCCACCCCACTGGGACCCACGAGCTCAGCATGCCTGAAAGCAGCCTCCACACCCGCTGTACTATCAGAAATCCCAACCTCACTCACCTTGCCCTTACCTTTATTAGCACTAGGAGGTACATAAGAGGAAGATGAGGGGAGTTCCTTGGAATCCACCTCGGTATCGACAGCCTCAACACCAGGGAAGTTGTCAATTTCATCACCTACATCCCCTAAATCAGAATCTCTCTCGGCAGACCTGTCGCCTAGGAGGGAAACAGAGGAGGGAGTTGCTCCAGAGGAGGCAGACATGATTGGTAAAGAGAAAGACAAGTTGAAAGAATTATAAAAAGGAGGAATACTAACTAAACACCCCCTGATAATCCTAAGGTCAACATTGTACCTCCCGACAGTAAGAATTCGCACAATGGAGTTCTAATCCACAAAGTGGGGAAGAGGAGATAGACAATGATCGCGATTCCAAAAGAAAAAGAACCAAAAAAACCCAGAAAAACAATGGTCACCTCGAAGTCGAGGGATCCAAAGTGAGGAAAGGCAACAGAAAGAGAAAGGGGCATAAGGAGGCGTACCTAGACAGGGAAGAAGAGTAACAAACAACAACCAAAGAACAAAATTGGATGAGAGGAATAAAGCAGGACTTCGAGTCGAACCCAGAAAGCACAGTCTAGAGCAGAGAATAAGGGAATCGCATGAAAGAAAGCCCAGAAATCACAAAGAGAAAGAGCCGGAGACGAAGGTGAACAACATAGAAGATGAACGGTGGTTTGGTGTGTTTTTTTTCAGCCGCTTTAAGCATTTAAGGCTTGAAAGACGTAAGGTGAGGCGAGCACGGGAACCGAGGGAATCATGATTGCTTATACCGTCAAAAAGCCCCTCCCACGTGCATCTCACATGCAGGCTAAGGTCAGCTAGGCACAGGTCTGGTCCAAGGTAAAAGCAGCTCAGCCCATGCCCAAGCTCACTTGGGCCAAGGGCTGGGGGGGCGACTGATGATACCTCAAAATAAATCTCAATTGCCAGCTCAGAAGGTCAGCTCAGCCTAGGAGGTCAAACTGGACGAACAGAACTCGAAAGAGTAGAACTGGAGGTCCCTTCGAGATAAGCAAGGGCAATAACAACTAATGCAACAGTTAAAAGATCACGAGAGGTTCCTAAAAGCGTTAGAAACAATAATCAAGGCACCTAATCTCAACCAACCAAGATCTTCTCCTATAATCAAGGAGAACCCCACGAAATAAGGGCAAGAATGTCGGTTAAGATCCCACTGAATAGGGAATAGCCCTATAAATACTATGTAACGCCCCCAAGGAACCCTAGAGGCAAAAACTAGCCATTGTACTCTTGCAATCATCATTATTGAAAGACAAGGAACAAGAGTCTCTATTAAAGAGTGGATTAGCCGAGCTCCCAAGCTGGTGAACCACTATATTTCTACTGTGTTAATTCTCCAATTCTCCGACAATTATCAGTATCATTCACTCGAGTCTAGTAGCTCATATCCCAACGATTCCAATATCGTTTTCTTTCATTTACTCGTTATCACAAATTCTCATCATGTTGAAATACACCATCAAAAAATAAGTAATTTTTTTTTGTGATTAGAAAAATGGGAAAATATTTTTTGATTTTAATTTTTAATTTTTAATTTTTTTTAAAAAAATATAAGTACATATTTTATCATTGTATATATGTATATATCAAAAGATATATAAACAAATAAGATACATTTTATCACAAATAATTAATTTTTTGTCCACTTTTCTTTCGATTTTGGAAAGATTGATTTCGGTGAGTTGAAAGAAAAACTCATACATCCATTTTTTCATCTTTTATATTTTCTTTCCTTACTAAATTTGATATTTTATCTATCCTTTCAATTTTTTATTCTTCTAATTTTTTATCATTTTATTTTTTTATCGTACAAACGGAGCATTAATTTTGCAATGAACATACATCTAATTTGTGTAATTAGGGGTGGATTTGCCGTGGGAGAAGATGCCTGGAATTTGAAAAAATATTGGGGTGTAGTTAAAATTTTTTAAAGTTTTAGAATTTGTTACATATTGCCTCCATTGAAAAACTTTTAAACTTAAGTATTGTAATGTATATTTTCAAACACATGGGGTTCATTCAAACGTTAGCAAAAGAAAAAAGTTACTTTATCGGGGCACAAGTTCCTGTTTTCTTTGTTTCGGCCAAAACTCGGTCCGTCTCTTTTGTGATCTCTCTCAGTTCCACGTACATAGATCCTTAGGCTATCTCTTTGTTCTAGCTTCGTACTCTAAAAATTCGTTCTCTTCAGTTTTTTGCTCTCTCTTTTGTGTGGTATCTCTCTATTGTAGACTTCAATTATTATTAGAAAGATAGTTTAAAGGGAAGATTATTTCAAAATTGGTTTGTCGATAGGTATACCATGAACGATTTCTTTAATTTCGATCATTATTATATTTTTTAAATTTTTTGGCCAGTGATTAGGTTTTCAATTTTAAATTTAGGATTTATGTATTATAAATTATTTTTTGGATTAAATCATTTTGATTGATTAGACTTGAGTAAATTGATTGTAATGAATTAAGTTATTCCTATATCTAAGATTGTTTTGGTTAATTATGTTTTGACCATAAATTGATTTAATTGACTTGCGATAGATTTGATTTTTCTAAATTGTATCTATTAAAAATTGTTTAATTTTTCAAAATTATTTCGATGTATTCTACGTAAATAATACATATTAAGTTATGTCTGAATAAAGAAATTAAATTTTTAATCAACTATTGATAAAAAAAAATTATCAGATTTTATAGATGATAGCTTCGTAACATTTTTTTATTGTTGTATTTTTCTCATACATAAAAATTGTGCCTTTAATTAACGTTCTTTTAACGAAGTAATACTTTAGTAAAAACAGTGTCAACATTTTGAGTTAAATAATTATGTGTTTAAGTGTTTAATTGCTTAGTCGAGCAATGACACGTCATTATCGCGGTGGGGTAGCACACTGTTGTCTGTTGATTTAACTCCTCTCTTATTATATAAATATAATAATAATAATAATAATAATAATAATAATATAATATGGTACAGTAAGCAGCGAGCGACAAACCTAATCTTTTCAATCTATGAAATTAAACGTAATTAAGCTGCTTAAACAACTCAGCATGTTGCACTAGAAACACAACCATGATAATTAAAAATAATTCACTTCATTGTTTGCGAGTATTCTAAATATATATATACATATACATATGAATCCATTTATATTCGTCACATGTATGCACACAAGCAAAACCTATGAGACTTGAGATGAACGTTTGGGGACCAAATCCCGTGTTTACGGTTTTAGCATTGTCAAAGTGATTTTCTGTACTTGGGAACCATCGAACGTGTCGGACTCCACGGTCCACACTGCTGCTGGCAACCACGTGTATTTTACGAGTTTACTCTACAGTACAGCCGTGTTGGGCTCCACGACCCTCAAAACTCCCACTACACACACCGTTGGATCTTGATCGCACGACGGCGTCGAATACGAGAAGCAAAAGACACCCAATTTCACTGTCGCTGACTCAAAACGAGTGGTGAAGGCGTTGAGCTCTAGTCACTTCATCATAACCATTCATCACCACCATGGGCAATTTTGTGATTTCACTGTCCAAAAACAGCAAGCTGAAAAGGTTCTGTGAAACTTCAATTTCCCCTCGCCGACAATCCAACTCAAGCTGCCAAGAGAGAATACAAACGTCCCACCCCTCGATTGGGACGGTGACAATACCTTATTTATTCAAATTAAATTAAAGATGGGGATAATTCCATGTAGGCCACACCCTTGGACCCATACCCTCCTGGCTTCAACTTTTGGTCTGTGACCACGATCAGCAACAGTGCCTCGTGACTTTATACTTTTTTAAATTCATATAGGATTACTCAAAAATAAATAGACCAAATCCACCCATTTACTCCACCCATTAAAATCCATTCTATTCACTGCCTTCTCTGTCCTCTCTGCCACTCCATTATTCTCAACCATTCAAGCTCTCTATCTCTCATGAAAATTTCTTGAAAAAACCAATCTTTATTCCCTTTGCGCCTTTCTTTCTTCTGGGCTCAATAACAATGGTTTCTCTTGAAGAATCTCATTCCAGTTCCACTCGCTTCTCACAACGGCGACCTTACTACACTCCACCTCCGTCATGGAACAAGATCCAGAGACCTCTCGGCCGCTCCATGCGCACTATCCGCTCCAATCTCTTCCAGACCGACCACTCTTGCTCATTTCCAGGACCAACCACACCGGAAAGATCAGCCAATGTCTCCGAAAACTTAACCGATTCTGTCATCGACCTCCGACTCGGCGAACTTGCTTCTCGTACCAACCAATCGGTCAAGTCCTCATCTTCAGAAGACGATTTTTTCGATCTGTCTCAAGCTTTCAGCGATTTCTCGGCTTGTAGCAGCGATATTTCCGGCGAGTTACAGCGTCTTGCAACTCTCCCAAATGCCGAAAACCAGGATCCGAATCCGAACTCGGAACCCGAACCGGAGCCGTGCTATGGGTTCTTGCAGAGAGAGAGCTTTTCAACGGAGATTATAGAAAGTATTTCGCCGGAGGATCTTCAACCGACAGTGAAAATCTGCATCGACGGCCTTAATTCGTCGTCGGTTGCTGTGAAAAGATCGGCGGCGGCGAAATTGAGACTACTAGCAAAGAATCGGTCTGATAATCGGGCGTTGATAGGCTCATCCGGTGCTATACCAGCTCTAGTACCTCTGTTAAAGAGTAGTGACCCTTCGACTCAAGAGCATGCTGTCACAGCTTTGCTTAATCTCTCACTCCACGAAGAGAACAAAAGCTTGATAACAACCGCCGGCGCCGTGAAATCCTTCGTGTTCGTGTTGAAAACCGGAACTGAAGCATCAAAACAGAACGCGGCGTGCGCTTTGTTGAGCTTAGCTTTGGTTGAGGAGAACAAGAGTTCTATAGGGGCTTCAGGCGCCATACCACCATTGGTGGCTTTGCTGATTAATGGGTCGAATAGAGGGAAAAAAGACGCATTGACTACGCTGTATAAGCTTTGTTCAGTGAAGCTGAATAAAGAGAGGGGGGTGAGTGCTGGGGCGGTGAAGGTGTTGGTGGGTTTGGTGGGTGAGAATGGGACGGGGTTGGCGGAGAAGGCAATGGTGGTGCTGAGTAGTTTGGCTGGGATTGAGGAGGGGAAGCAGGCGATTGTGGAGGAAGGTGGGATTGCAGCGCTTGTGGAGGCAATTGAGGATGGGTCGGCCAAAGGGAAGGAGTTTGCGGTGTTGACGTTGTTGCAGTTGTGTGGTGATAGTGTTAGGAATCGAGGGTTGCTTGTTAGGGAAGGTGGGATTCCTCCTCTTGTCGCTCTTTCGCAGACTGGGACTGCTAAAGCCAAGCACAAGGTGAGTTTTTTTTTTTTTTTTTTATCTGTATTCATCGTATTTGAATGCTTGTGATCTGAAATGGGTTCCTGTAGTGGCTTGCTGGTTATTGCAGATCTGGATTATGCATAGCTCGTATACTGTTTAGTGCTCCGTACAAAACATGTTTTCTTGGTTAAATTGGTTCAATCATGCGATAGATTTAGCATAAAAGGAATTGCAATTTGTTTTGGATGGATTGTTGTCCACATGTGCAAAAACCAATTACATGATTGTCATGGTGTTGAAGTCTGCAAGTATACATCGAGTCCTTGTTTATGTAACTGACTTCTGGTTTTTTAGTGACTGTGATGTATTGCCTTGGTGCTTGTACAAGTCAATGAATGGAATTTGAATTTTGTTCACACCCGGATGTATTTTTTTGGGTAGCTGAATTAAAACAGGGTTTAATTGTTTTTGGCAGGCTGAAACTTTACTTGGGTACCTGAGAGAACCAAGACAAGAAGCTTCTACTTCAAGCCCTTAGAGAGGTATTTTAAATGATCTTATATTGTAATTATGTAGTAGGTTTGTTGACTGTATATGTAGGAATTGTTTTGATGTTTTATACAGAGTGGTTGAGAAACTTGGTGGTTTGTGATGTAATGTCAAAAAATTGGTAGAAGCTATAGTGAGAAGAAGCTAACCTATTTAGGTGTATTATTGTTGACTAGGATTTTGGGGGGTTTAGTTCCCCTCTATTGTTAATTTTGTTTTGGGGAGGCGGGAGAACTTGTTTGCCTGGTTGGGTTTTGGGTTGTGAATTTATTATATGATCTGAGCTATGATTCTTTTGGTTTGTTTTTGGTGACTCAAGGGTTACTAATGTTTGAGTTTCGTTTTTTCCTACTCTCTTTTCCTCTTACTATTTTAAGGAATTAATCTTTTTGTCTATTTATTTTGTTTATATTTCTTGTCCCGGATTTGTCTCCTTACATTTTTTAGCAGGCCAAGTTGCTAATAGAGTTGGTAAATCAGTGCATTGTTCAGCTGAGTAGGAGTAGGTCAGCTAGCCATTTGGTCCTTTGACCTCCTGGATAGCTCTGCAAAGCTTAAAAAATAATCCACCTTTGACCTGCAGATACCCTTTCTATGAATTATTATAACCTTTAATTCAAGTGAACTTTCTCCATTCAAAAGTTGTGTACCTTAGTGTAAGGTTGCAACAAAACATTTTTACGAATCAACAATTCAATATTAAATTTCTATTTTTTGCAGTGTTCGGGATGTTTCGAGCTATTTTAGAAATAGAATTTCGAATTTTTTCCTTGGTTCTTGTGTGTTTTCAAAACATTTTCAGCTTTCCAATCTTTTTGGTATTGGTCTCACTTTTCCATTTTACATTCCTTTGAAAGGAGAAAAATTTTCGTTATAGAGCTACTAACCATAGTTATGTACTGTACCAAAGCTTTGATCTTTCTTCTTCATGGTGGGTGGTATGAGGCTAACTGATGACTTATTCAAATTTTTAAGCAAACCAGGGATGAGATGAAAGGGAGGAAAGACGTAGTAGGAGGCCCTGTGATCTCTTAGTCGTTTGGTGGAAAGTGGTTTTAGCTAGAGTATTGATCCCACCAGCTTGTATGCATGTACATACTTAGACTGTCAGCCAGCCAGCCAGCCACCAACCTACCCCACCAAAAGATTGCGTATTTTGGGGCCATATTTATTATCTTTCTCTTTCTGGGGCGGGCTTGTCGTCTTTATTAGTTCATTAGCTGGCAGGGCAGAGCAGAGCAGGTGCAAGGGCTTGTCCTGTTGTTTGGATGGGTCATGCTTATTTCCATCTCTTCTCCCATGCATTTTGCACTTTTGGTATGGTTTTCAATCGTTGTTTGATGAAGTGTCGGTGTACCTAATCGTATTTTGGGTATGGTTCCAAGTGATTTGTTGTACCTTTGAGGCCACATTGTTGGTTTCTCTCTTTTTTATTGCAAGAAGAGTGTGGTGGTACCTTGTTCATTATATTGACTTTCTAATGCCACTCCCACCAATTCTTTGAAGCAAAGAAAAGGAAAATGAAGCCATTCTCGAATCATCTACAGAGAGAGAGAGAGAGAGAGAGAGAGAGGATGTGTCATTTCTTGTTCAAGTTTCATCATGAGAAATGCATAATGCGGGGGTGGAAAGGATTGATTTGAAGTCAGAGCCGACCCAACAGTAAAGCAGCCAGCACATAATAACATTTGAAAAATACAAAACGAAAACTGTTAAAACGCTAAAGAAAAATCAGAAGTCAATATGCAAAGTTAGCATCGCTCTATCGCTGTCTCTCTCTCCCTCTCTCTATCGTTTAAAAAGTGAATAGTGCAAATAACATCGACTCACTCTCAAACTCATGGTTATTCTAATCTAATAAAACTCCAACCAAACCTATATTTTATAGATAACACATGTGCCCTCCAAATAGAAAAACTAAACAAGAAATAAGATAAAGATATATATCGAGCCACCCAGATTTGATTTGAAGGATTTTTCAAAAAGTTTTTTAAGATGGAAGGATACAAAGTTGCCCACGGAAGTTGTTGATAAAATGTGAACTAATAATTTTATTTCACAGCAGGAGAGAGAAACAAAAAAGACGTTATCACATAGACAATTCATATCTTTGATAATTAACTTGAATGAACAATGTTAGACTCACCGAGTATCCTAGCTATGTTAAGAAAAAAGCCCTATTGGTAATGTTGTATATGATTCCTATGATTTGGATCAAATGGTGTATCATTAATGTGGTGACATTTTTTTTTTATCTCGTTTTCCTCATTTTATCCTTCAATGCCATTTGGTTATTTATGTTTATTCAGTCTAGCATTATTCTAATATTTATTGAGTATTAATGAATGTGATTATAATACATTCTTATTGTTAGATTAGCAACAAATTTTAATATTGGTTAGACTATATTATACTGTCAAATCCAATGAGACAGCAAATTCTAGTCTCATGATGCGCTGCCAGAATATTCTAGACTCGGGAGCAGCAGCAGGTACGAAAGAACACACCAGGTAAATAGTGTCCAACAACACTTGGAATCATTCGCCATTATAGCATTTGGAGTTGTAAATTTTAAGTGTTTTGTGAGTTGAACCTAGTAGAACCAAGTGTACAGCTTACGATTCGTATGTACTAGAGGCATTAGAGCATATGGAAAAAAAAAGTAAGAGCGGGCATAAAGAAAGAAGCATCAAGGGTAGACCTTTTACATGTTTAGAATTTATCATTCATCAACACAAAGAAAACTGCTGGCAGCCAGCCACTCTTTGCTATCACCCAAATCAAACGCATACAATATACAAGATCTAGACAAAACATACAATATATATTCACCACTTAAAAGTTCAAAGATTACAAAACCCATGATAGACTTTGTTCAAACCGTCCATACAGGAGATCACAGGTGATAACTTGAATGAGCAACTGTGGGCAGTGATTGGATAAAATGGCCAGTTAAAAATGCTCTAAACTGGACCTTCCTTCTCAACTAAACCAACGTGTCCAATTATGATATGATATTACGTGCTTAAGCTTTAACAAAAATCCCGTGCAATAGTGATCGATATAAACAAGAAAGATATCAGTCTAAAGAGAAGGTGCTCAGAATTTGTAAAGAATGGATTGGAGAGTGTCCTCACAAAAATTGTCAGATTAACAAGATTATTACAACCTCATCATCGCACCTTCACTTCCGATAGATGGATGAAAGAATATATACATACCATACATACAAAATTGGGCCAACAAGTTTAGTCAATTCCGAAAAATTTCCCTAAAACAGAACCCAAGATAAATACCAACCTTCCTGCCACGAATCATACAACCACCATAGCATTTAAGAATGGAAATGTAGTGACCCTATGGCGTGGCTGTTGATATACATTAAAATCCAACTCATCTCATAAGAAATAAAAATAAAAGACCTCAGAATGTGAAGGCAATTAGAGCACTGACTAAAAGATTAATAGTGTGAACCTCTATAGCATTGATTGAAGTATATGATGTAAATATAGCATTGATTAAAGTATATGATCCAAGCCCAATTCATATAATCCAGTTCATAAGGAATCTAGACTCTAATTGCGTCCCCAAGCAAAGATACAAACATTTGTAATCTCCTGTTGCGACTCATACACCACTAACACCACTAGAACAAAGAAAACAAATTTAAAGAAAGATATTATTGTTAAGTTGTAGGATAATGTACATANACAGGTGATAACTTGAATGAGCAACTGTGGGCAGTGATTGGATAAAATGGCTAGTTAAAAATGCTCTAAACTGGACCTTCCTTCTCAACTAAACCAACGTGTCCAATTATGATATGATATTACGTGCTTAAGCTTTAACAAAAATCCCGTGCAATAGTGATCGATATAAACAAGAAAGATATCAGTCTAAAGAGAAGGTGCTCAGAATTTGTAAAGAATGGATTGGAGAGTGTCCTCACAAAAATTGTCAGATTAACAAGATTATTACAACCTCATCATCGCACCTTCACTTCCGATAGATGGATGAAAGAATATATACATACCATACATACAAAATTGGGCCAACAAGTTTAGTCAATTCCGAAAAATTTCCCTAAAACAGAACCCAAGATAAATACCAACCTTCCTGCCACGAATCATACAACCACCATAGCATTTAAGAATGGAAATGTAGTGACCCTATGGCGTGGCTGTTGATATACATTAAAATCCAACTCATCTCATAAGAAATAAAAATAAAAGACCTCAGAATGTGAAGGCAATTAGAGCACTGACTAAAAGATTAATAGTGTGAACCTCTATAGCATTGATTGAAGTATATGATGTAAATATAGCATTGATTAAAGTATATGATCCAAGCCCAATTCATATAATCCAGTTCATAAGGAATCTAGACTCTAATTGCGTCCCCAAGCAAAGATACAAACATTTGTAATCTCCTGTTGCGACTCATACACCACTAACACCACTAGAACAAAGAAAACAAATTTAAAGAAAGATATTATTGTTAAGTTGTAGGATAATGTACATACCCTATAAAGTGTTATGGTTATCCACTACAATTGATTATTCATAGCAACCTAAAAATAAGAGCATGTACATTTGCATTAATAAGCAATTCAAAATTTTGGAGTATTGAGGCTAGATGAATGGGTGCATTTCTTTTCCATGAAGTCCAATAAAACTCAGCATCTCTTGTTCCAAGAGATTGTTGCATATTTATATACCCCATCATACTTGATTCATTTGTTTGGGTGAATATCATGTTCAATGTTATTTAATTCAACAAAAACACATATTAAATCTCACCNTAATTTCATCCAGGAAAGTTTTCACTGAGAATTTGAATCTCTTGCGAGTTCCACTTGTAATCAAATCCACCAGATCACTGATTCTTCCCCAGCCTCTACAGACCCATGTAACAGAGTCATTCAGAACATCATACTTAGTTAATCGAACGGTATTCAGAGTTCAATTAGATGTGAAATATTACCTTCAC